CACCGAAGAGCCGGGACCGCCCTGCTTCACTTGTGCAACACAAACAAGGAGAGGAGGAGGTCAGAGCCGTTTGAGCACCCGCAAGCGACAGAACTAGCAATCTCCCTGCCCTGGAAAAAAAAAAAAAAACAAAAAAAAACAACAAACCCAAACAAACCAACAGTGCAATCAATTTTGCATGGGCTGTTCCTGCCTGGGGCAGCAGAAAAAGGGGTTTTTGCTTCTCTCTCTCCTGCCTATTCTTTAGGTCCTGAATAGGGACCTAACCCTCACCACAGGCACCTCATGAGATGGAACAAGGAGGCAGAAGAGAGAAACAGCCCAGCTCCGTTGGGGGAAAGCCACCGGGCTCAGCGACAAGAAAAGGAATGCCGTTTTCCCTTGTAAACCTTCCCCCGAAACGCTGCCGGACCTCCAGGACAGCAGAAGCCTGGGCCAAGGGCAGCAGGGGGGGAAGCAGCAAGCATTGGCATGGTCCCCTTCCAGTCCCTCGAGCAGCACGTCCAATCCGGGAAGGAAGACTGGACTCGGAGTGCCCCACTAAAGCAAAACGCACTTTCACAGGAGAAACACAGTGTCACAAGGAACTAGGGAGCGGCGCTCGACACACGGCGTCCCCCGATGCAGACCCCCCTTTCCTTCAGCGCATGAAGAACGGGGCAGGAGCAGGAAGGGGTGGTGGTGCACTGGTGGAACCGCCCAAGCATCAGCGAGAGGAACCTCGGGGAGACCCGGCCTCAAGGAGAGAAGCTGGAGGGCAGCCCAGCAGACGCAGGGACATCGGGCAGCTGTGGAAGTGCTGCAGGAATGCCCCTGCCCCCCCCCCCGCCGTGCTCCCTGATGGATAAAGCATTGCAGGAGCATGCTTGGTAACCCCCTTCAAGTCCTGCCCTAAGCCACTCTTCAGGGGCAATGCAAACTTTGACCGCTTATCCTTTCACTATTCAACCTTCTTTCAATAAACCTTCCATTTAAGGGTCCTCTTTTAATTTCAGCAATATCAACCACAGATCATACTCTTCCTAACCCTTGCCCCCCCTCCCTGGGAAGCACAGAAGAGTCCTCACAGTGCCTGCTTGCCCCGTTTTCATCAAGGAGCCACTTCTGCACACCCAGCACTCAAAACTAATGCCAGCTGGCTGCATAACCACACAGAGCTGCTGGGCTTCCTACGGTTGAGGTGTGTCACAAGATCTGCCCCATGGTGATCTTCAGGGGCCGGAGGAAGGACCAGTCCTCAGGCTGTGCATCCCGAGGCAACCCTTAAGCCTTCTTCAAGGCCATCAAGGTTCCCCTAGTGCCACTGAGATGCATACATCCTTCAGAGAGCCTGAGGAGGACAGGTTCGCTCCTGTGTAACTGTTTTTTCATCCTTGCCATTTGCGTGGGTCTGGGGATGAAGATACTCACCTTCAGCCCCTGAAACCAGAGAGTACTCTTGAAGAACAGCGAGAACTCCGCAGGTTTTGAGGTCTAAATGTCCCCAGGGCTTTTAAGCAGCAGCACTTATTTAATCTGATAAAGTCCCAGTTTGTAGAGAGTTCAGAATAAGCACAGACCTCCCATTTACCATCTCCTCCCTCCCAGGCTGCTGGGGACAGTACTCTTTCAAGGCTTTTAGTAACTTTATCAAGAAATCACAACCTTTTTACAGAAGAGGGCTCATCCCTCATTAATAATGCAAGGCCTTTAGGTTTATAAGGAAAGTAAGTAATGCACCCGCCTGGACAAAATTATCAGTGCTATTTAGTTGGGTTACAAACACAAGTTGATATTCAGTAAGTAAACTAATTTGTTATTTACGTTATGCCTGCGTATTCCCTCCAAGCACATCTTCTGTGGATTCCCATTTCAAAAGTAGAATTTCACATTTATTGCTACTTTCAGCACAGAAGTTTGGGCTGATACTTTTTGCATGAGAAAAGGCATTGCCCTGTGAAGGCCAAAAGGGATTGTTGAGTAAGAGCTACTGACCAAAAAAGCCTGTGCAGCAAATACTGTCAGGTTTGAAAGGTTATTTTTAGCTTAGACATCATGACAGTAACATATCCAGTCATAATTTAAACCACAAAGTGATGAAGAATTCATCCTGCCCCTATCTAAAGTTATGCCAGTAAGGGGGATGTTCAGTATGCTCCTACTATTTTGCACCTTCTGCAATGTGTAGCCCTTACTGCAGAACTATAGTCATGCATTTCATTCATGAGTGACATACAAGGGAAATACAAAAGTTTAAAAAAAAAAACCTAAAAAACCACCAATCAAAAACCAGTGAGTAAATAGAACAAACTTAATTTAGTTTACCCCACAAAGAAGTTTTATCTTATTGAATTCTGCTCACTGAATGTTGATTCTCCTAGAGGATGAAAAACTCTGAATGGGCTTTAACCTTAGTTGTGTAAACATTCCTGAATGCAATAAGTATTTTTAAGAGCTTACAAAATAAAGAAGGATGTGATGATTGTGTTAAAAAAAAAAAAAAAAAAAAAAAAAGGTTTCTATCCTGTGAATCACTTAATCTTCCAAATTAAGTGAAATTTTCAAATTCAGGGAGAATGTTCTCTTTAAAAAAAACCCACAGAAGTAAATGGTTTGCAGGTATAACTAGCATAATTTTTGTTTCTAATGGGCAACGTTAAATGCAGAGGGAAAAAAAAAAAAAAACAAAAAAAACAACAAAAAAAAAAACAGGATG